GCACGGAACATCTGCTCCAGGCTATGGCGTTGCACGGGGAGAAGGCCGACATTCGTGAGTTGTTGCGCTCGTCGGAGGTGGATGTCTCACTGAAGCGGGCGCTTGGCAGTGTGCTGCAGGTCGGCGCGAGTGTCTTGGGCACGGAAGGCCACCGCAGTCAAATTCGACTTCGCGGCCACGCGGCTGGCTGGCACTATGGCACCTCGCACGTCTTCGTGACGCCGAATCTGGCGGATTCTCGTGCTTCTTTGCTGCTGCAGCTGCACATGCAGGGTCTGGATGGGAAGGTGGAAAACTACGACGTGGATTTGCGATGGGACTTGGAGGATCCCGTGCTGCCGTCGTTGGCCGCAATGCGGCGCGTGCTGGCAGCTGATCCCGTGTCGCAGGCCAGGTTTTTCGACCTCATGATGACCTTGTTCTTGGAAGAGGTGTTGGGAACATTGCCAGCCTTTACCCGAGCCAGTTTTCGGGCAGGTAAGGCTCAAGTCTACGAAGATGGTTTCGCGGCGTCGACTTTCCCAGGTTGTTTCGGGGACATTGCCGCCTTCTGCGGACCTCTGGAGACTCAAGGACGAGGTTCGATGCATCCGCACATTTTGATCGTTCTCCTGGGCCATGACTTGGGCAGTCGTTTGCGGTCTATGATGGCCAGGGCGGAGCGGGGCGAGCTGGTGATCCAGTTGCAACGCTGGCGCGAGAAAGTCTTGCGAGCTGCAAGCCGGATTCGATACGACAGTCAGCTTGGCTTGGCCGCCCAGCTCTCGGTAGAAGCCGCGCCTCTTCCTCTCGGCGAACGTCAGCGGGAGTCTGCGGGCAATCAGTATGCCGAGACTCAGCTGGGGCCGAAGGAGTCGGACGGGCATGAGCTAGCGACGACGGAGAGTATCGAGCATGTGCCCTTGCAGTTGACAGGCTGCTATAATTCGCTTCGACCGGCTTATCTTCGGCGTGGGCGGAATGGAGATCCACTGCCTGGCTCCGAGTGGTCGCAGCAGCTGTGCAAGGACTATCGGCGTCTGGTCATTCAAAACCACTTTCACAAGTGCACGAAGTCTTGCTTCAAGAAGTTACTCGCCCGCACGTGCTTGTCCATTCTTGCGCGCGTCTGTGTGTGTGTGCGCGCGCGAGCGCGCACCTAGCATGCGTGGTTGTTGCTAGCTGTCAGCAGTCCAGGAAGTCTTCCAGGGGCAAGCGTGGATGTCGCTTCGGGTGCTTTCACTTGGAGCTGATGACCGAGACGAAGGACGATGGTGAGGAGAAGGTACGCATCAGATGCTACAAGGGTTGGCCTCGAGTT